TCGATTTGAACTTTGAGGTATCTCAAAAGGACACATTATCTCTCACCATTTTATTGATCTCCACAAACTTTTCATTGCATCCACACATATGATTGCTTGCTCCATTGTCCAAATACCACGAGCTGCAATCATCTCTGTCTTCTTCCTTAAGTGCCATCAACAACGTTGACTCATTTTCTTATTTATTGTTGTCAACAAGGTTAGCTTTTTCTTCAACATTGCTACGACATTCCCAGGAGTAATGGCCAAATTTATGACAATTATAACACTCAATTTTTGATTTGTCATACCTTTGTCCATTATTTTCTTGGTAGTAGCCACATCCTCTTCCTCCTCTATGTCCACAACCACGACCTCTGAATGTTTGGTGGATTTTAACTTCATTGTTGAAGTTGTTACCGTTACTTCTTCCTCTTACATGACCGCCACGTCCTCGTCCTCGTCTATTTCCGCGATAGCTTGTTTCACCTCCATAATCCTTGAAGGATGCCTGAGTTTTAAGAAGTTGCTCCAATGACACTTCTTTTCTCCTTTTGATCTTTTCTTCGTGGGCTTGTAAAGAACCTTCCAGTTGCTCCACCATCATAGAGTCTAAATTTTTAGACTCCTCAATAGCACACACCACAAAATCAAATTTAGGTGTTAAAGTGCGAAGGATCTTTTCTACCACACGGACATCTTCTATGTCCTCCCCGTATCTTCTTAGTTGATTTACAACAGCCTTCACTTTTGAAAAATAATCCGAGATGCATTCGGATTCTTTCATTTTTAAAGCTTAAAAATTAGCCCTTAGAGTTTGAAGTTTTACCTTCTTCACCTTGTTAACTCCTTGAAGAGAATTTTGTAAAATCCCCCAAGCTTCCTTTGAGGTGGTAACATCTGCCACCTTCTCAAACATGGCATCATCCAAACATCGGTGGATGAGCATGAGGGCTTGTTCATCCTTCTTCCTTGTTTTTGCCAAGATTTCTTTTTCAGTTTGAGGCAGAGCTTCCTCATTATCTGTTTTTTCATACCCTCTATCTACGCTTTCCCACACATCCTAAGAGCCAATAATGGCTTTCATACGTAGACACCATTTCTCATAATTATCTTTTGTCAGACGGGGGTACTGAAAATATAACGGACCATTATTTGCCATGGCTCTGATACCACGTTGTTGGGATAAAAAATAATATATCCCGCCCAGGAATAATATCCACGGCAAATAATAATAACACAAAAGAGTAATAATGACACCAAATATTTTAGCGGGGTAAAATACAATACCCGAGTGGAGCAATATTACCACTATAATATTACAACTCAGTAGTGTCAAGAGACTACTACAACTTTGAAAGAAATAACACTCTTTATTTAAAATACCTCACTACAATATTACTACCACTCTTTAGTTATCTCACTGACAATAATCTGTGGATTAATCTCACAGCTTTCTGCTTCTCTCGTTATTTGGGTGTATTTCAGATGAAACTGAATACTTCTATTTATAGGAGAAGCCACTGCACCTCTAACCAATCAAAGATTGGAATCTTCAATCAGAAAACCAACTTTAGAAAAATTGGTTTTGTCCACCGCCTAAGCCCTAAGTTTCGGGAATCATCTCCTTTTCGTTTCTTTCCTTTATTTTCCTTATTATTTAGTTATGTCCCACATTATATAGGTTAGGTAATACAACTAATATAATTTGTAATTTAAAACACAGGTTTGATCTTATATCTATCACTTTATGGGGAGATTTTGCTGAAAATGATGGTGAACTTCTTGAAAGATGAAACACAATAAACCAATCCTTGGTTTTTGTGATGTTAGAGTCTCAATTTACAAAGGTATAAACACCAACAATTGTTTGTATTATAGTATTCACACTTTAGCCTGTATTTATATTATTCACACTTTATGTACTAAAACTATTCTAAATAATTTCAACTTCTTTAATTAGGAAATTTTGGAATATCAACTATTCCTGTCGGCAGTGTGTTAATCAATCCAACAATCCAAAAGGCAACAGAACTCCGAAATTGGTACTTATGATAATTCTATTGCATTAGTAGTCATAGATATATTGATCGTATTATCAACTCTTGAACCTTGTTATCATGATTAAGACTACGGGACCCTTAAATTTACAACCTCTACTACATAATTTTATCCTACTAACTGCTTCCATAATTTAAAACAAACTTTGGTATAAAAAATTTACACAATATAATACCAAATAATAAGCATGCGCCTCTCTTAAGTTTATTCCAAATATTATGAGGTAAGCCTCTCTTTTTTAATTGAATGACAAAAACATGTGCTGCAAATAGGGCCAAAAATTTCTCAGTTATAAGGTTTTGGGTGTAATTTTCCTTTAACAAATCTACAATCGTCACGTCTACATCTTTATTGTCACGACCCTTAAGCGGACCCGGTCGTGATGGCGCCTATCGTGAAACTAGGCCAGCCAACATAAACCCCCATACTAACCAAACAATTATAATAAGTCATTTATAGACATTAATAAGCTAAAATACCATAGAATAAAGTAGGATAAAACAATGCGAAAAAAAAAAAACCCGACATCCAGGTGTCACCAGTCATGAGCATCTACAACTCATCTAGGAATATGAAAAGACAAAATAGTTTGATACAAAGCTAGTACAAAGCAAAATAAATATAGGAAGGAGAAGCATCGGGCTGCGAACGCCAAGCAACTATCTAGTCAACTCCGAAAAGCTTGCTAGATGACAAATCAGCACTCGCTAGCGTGACTCGAGACTCCTGGATCTGCACACAGGATGCATGGTGTAATATGAGTACGTCAACTCAGTAAGTAGTAAAAGTAAAGGAAGCTGAGCAGTAAGAAAACACAGCATAACGTTACAACAAAACAGTATAAATCCAGGACAATGCAGTAAAATAGTATAACTCGTAAAAACATTTCAGTTTAGTAGAAACCTCTTTAAAACAACTTCTAGTAGTGCAAACGAGTGATGAAAACAGTGAGAAAAAGGATAGAAATATAAATCAGCCCCTCGGGCAAAACATATACCACAACCGCCCCTCGGGCACAATGTCAGCCAAACCAGGCCCTCGTGCTACCTCACAATCACTCGTATCAGCCCCTCGGGCTATAACATGAAACAACAACAGCCCCTCGGGCAATATCACATCTCACACTGGGTACCCGCATTCACTGGGGGTGTACAGACTCCTGGAGGGGCTCCTACAGCCCAAGCACAATAACAAGTCATCTCGTGGCATAATCAAACAGGCCCTCGGCCTCAGAACAAGCCACCTTGTGCCATAACAATCAGGCCCTCAACCTCAAAATCATGAATCAATAAAACACTCCTGCGGCGCACAGCCCGATCCCATAGTATCCTCACAACACAGGCCATCGGCCTCACTCAGTCAGAAATCTCTCAAGCCACTGGTGCAACATTAAAACATGATGCTCAGCCCAAAATAGCATTTAAAATATCAAAAACGAGTAAATATGGGTGAGTTATGAAAACAGTAGAATACAACATGACTGAGTATAAATATGAAGTTAAAACAGTGAGGAATAGTAGTAAAAATCCCCTAAGGGTCCAAAACAGTTGGCACAAGGCCCAAATATGGCATTCAGCCCAAAACATGGTAATAATCTCCAAAACACAATGATATCAAACAGTTTTCAATCAAATACGCAACTTAACAGTCGTATGGGATGGACTAAGTCACAATCCCCAATGGTGCACGATCCCACGCTCGTCATCTAGCATGTGCATCACCTCAAGGTAGCACACAATGTGAAATCCGGAGTTTCATACCCTCATGACAGCATTTAAAATCATTACTTACCTCAATCCGGTCCAAATTCTAGCCCACGATGCCCTTGCCTCTCGAATCGGCCTCTGAATGCTCCAAATCTAACCAAAATAGATTCATACCATCAAAAATATGCTAAGGAAATAAAGCCCACTCGAAAATAATCAATTTACATCAAAATCCCAAAATTGGCCAAACCCGACCCCCGGGCCCATGTCTCGGGTTCCGATAAATTTCACAAAACTGGAATCTTTACACCCTCACGAGTTCATACATACCAAATATACCAAAATCCAACGACAAATGACCCCTCAAATTCCTAAATTTAGGTCTCCAATTCTCAAGCTCTAAACCCCAATTTTGCTACTGATTTTTCATAGATTTCAAGCTTAAAATGTTAAAATTCATCATAGATACAAGTTTAGGGTCCAAAAACCTTACCTCCTCAAAACCATCTTGAATTCCCTCTTCAATTTGTTCTCCAAAGCTTTCTCCCGAATGAAATATGGTGAAAAATCACTCAAAATCACGAAGGGCCAAATATATATGTTCTGCTCTGCGGTACAAAATCTTGCACCTGCGGTCGCAGGTGCGCATCTACGGAATCCACTTATCCGTTATAGGACCACACCTGCGATCACAATACTGCGCCTAGGGGTGTGAATTCGATTTATCGATTCGATTTTGACCCTTATCGATAATTACTTATCGATTATTGATTTGTACATATGCTTGTCGTTATTGTTTCAATAAGGTTTCAATTTTTTCGATTTCGATTTTTCAATTTTTGGGGCTTATCGATTACACCAATAAAAAAGTTTGCGGGATTCCACTGAAAGTATATCGCTATAAGCACGCCTAACTAATATGGATAAAAAGAAGCTAAAATAAGACCAACACCATTTATAACATAAAAATTGTGTCAACAAGCACATGCAACGAAACTAAAGTAAGGGATCAAATGTATGTCACCAACACTCCAACTGTATAAAAACAAAACAAAACAAAATACATCATCATGGCTAATTCTGTTTTCCATTAATTTGAACTTCATTCCCTTGAGCTGTAAATATGATCATTCCTTAAATGTGGTATCCCTTGCTGAAAGTCCTAACCTTTAAACCTGGAAGAAATTAAGAAAAATATTAAGAACTTTGTAATACATCACATTCTTTTACAAGTATTATTTAAAATGGAGAACTTACATAGCAGCTAACAAACTCTAGCAAACATCGTTGGTGGAAGCTTCTTTGCCAAGATGAGTAAAATCTAATAAGAATATATATTAACAAGTCAAGCAATTAATATATTATTTAACTATCTTAAGCAATACAATAAAATTAATTAAAATATACATACCTTCCTCGAGTGTCTCGAGAAAATCTAAATCTTCCTCAACATTTACAGGAAGCGATTCACTCCGAAGCCAATCTTGAAGGCACACTAGAGTTTCAACCAATTTAGGAGTTAATGAACCCCTAAATTGGTCAAGAATACGCCCTCCGGTACTAAATGCACTTTCAGATGCCACACTTGAAATAGGAATAGCAAGCACATCTCGAGCCATCTTAGCAAGAATAGGAAATCTAGGTGAGTTCACCTTCCACCAAGCCAAGATATCAAAGTCCGGTCTTTCATTTTCAGGATCTTCTGCAAGATACTTTTTCAATTTTGTTTTAGAATCTACACCTCCACTTGCAACTTTATGTTTCCTTATTTCATCTAAAAGTTCACCTAAACCAGGAGTTGAAGTTTCCATTGTGCTGAATGAAAAGTTTGGCAAAGAGGTAGACATTTTACCACCAATATTTTTTGAAACCGATTTAGAGACATACTCATTAAACAATGAACTCATATAAGTATGAACCTCTTTCAATAATTTTCCCTTCATCTCCAAACATCTTCTCAAGTACAAAACTAACAGTAGTAAACTTGTAGCGAGGATCCAAAACACAAGCAATGAAAATCATTTTGTTCATTTTTTTTGGTTTACCCCAATACTTCTCAAATTTTTTCCACATACTTGATGTCATCTCACTCAAAAGTTCATCTTCAGTTGTTATTAATCGATTTAAGTAAATAGCAACTTGACCAATTTCAAGAAAATGGGCATTTGATGTTACATAAAGTGATCTGGACACCTTCAAAGTTAGATTATAAAATATTTCAAGAAATTGTGCAATTCTCTTACATCATCCCGATCAGTTCTTGTAAGCATACCTACAGGCTTTCCATCTGAAATAGCATCAAACATAAGATAACGTGACAAGCCGGTATCACGATCAGAATATTCTTTAATTGCACGCTCATATTCAATAACCTTGCTCAACATCAAGTAGGTGAAATTCCACCTTGTAGGAACATCTAAGCATAAAGACTTCTTGACAATATTTTCACTTTCACAACATTCCTGAAACTTCCTCAACCTAGCAGGAGACTGTCTAATATATCTGACTGTACATCTAACACGAGCAATAGAAATACCTGACTCTTTTAAACTATTTTTCACAATAAGATTTACAATATGAGATATGCATCTCACGTGAAGGTGTTGACCATTCATGGAATTGGTTCCCCAATCATCTAATTTATCAGACAACTTCTCCACGGTCACATCATTTGAACTAGCATTGTCAACTGTGACAGTGAAAATCTTTTTCAAACCCCACTCACGCAAATAATCAATAATACACATTGCCATATCTTCACCTTTATGGCTAGTAATTGGAGAAAATTTAATAATTCTTTTATGCATAATCCATTCACTATCAATCCAATAGGCTGTGATGCACATATAGTTAATTTTTTGAATAGAAGTCCATATATCAGTGGTAAGACTTACTCTTTGACTTGTTCCTTTAAGAAACTTCATTAATTTATTTTTTCCATATTACAAAGAGCAAAACAATCCCGTGTAACAGTAGTACGGGAAGGAATATTGCCACGACCCAAAATCTAATCATGGTCGTGATAGCGCCTATCGTGTTACAAGGCAAGCCTATTTCCCAAAATATTACTACTAATTAATTTTAAGGATTTAATAAAACAATACCAACATTCAAATTTCTCATAAACTAAATCAACTCTAAATATAATTAATATAAAAATACGGAAGCTAGCCCCAAACATCGGGGTGTTACTAAGTCATGAGCGTCTAAAACTATAAACTAAGATATATAAACCGTTTAACTGTCCAAAAGCAGAAATGACAAGAGGGGTAACAAGGTCCTGCAGATGCTGACAGCTACCTTGCAATCTCCACAGATAGCCGGCCTGAAATCAACTATCGCCACGCTTAGACCTGTCAAATGGGCCGGGTCGACCCACTAACTGGCCCATGTAACCCATTAAAATTGACCCATTAACCGGCCCATGACCCACGAAACCCTAACCGGACCAACCCATTAATTTAAGGGGCCTGGGCCGGGCTATAATATTTTGACCCACTAAACCGGACCAGACCGAAATCGGTAGCTGACCCACAGGCCAACCGGCCCGGACCAGTTCACATATATATATATTCAGACAAGTGGTAAAAAATTGAATCCAGACATTGAAGAAAGAATATAGTACCAAACACCATGAGACGTCATGTCGAAATAGTCGAATTCCATATGATTTAGACTACTAGTTATAGTCGGATTCCATATGTTTCTCAAGCCTTAATGTTAATATAGTATGATTTTTCTTTCATTTTTATTCTAACTGGCTCAAGGAGATGTAGTAATTTCAAATTTGTATGTATGTATAAAGTTTGAAATTTCTATGATTTATTAATTTTTAACTTTTTTAAATTAAATTAGATCTAGCCCATTAAGGCCCGGGTTACGGGTCCGGGTCGGGTCAATATGTTTTGATTAATGGGTCAAATCCGGACCGGCCCCTATAAGAAAGTGAACTGGACTGGCCTGGTTAAGGACCCACAGGCCAAGAGTCGATGGGTTCGGATCCGGGTCAGGTCGACCCATTTAACAGGTCTAGCCACGCTCTAACTCACCTAGTTCTGCACATAAAGTGCAGGGTGTAGTATGAGTACAACCACCTCAGTAGTAACAGAAATAATTAAGGAACTGAGTAGTAGTGACGAGCTAAGTAAAACAGTCCAACTATTTATTTTTATAATTTACAATAAACATGAATAAACAAGTAAATTCCATAATTCAGTAAATACCACAAAGAGGTTAACAGGTAAATGCAGTTGTTGATACCCAATTTTCCCTATATATTTTTAATATGCAAAATACCTTCAAAATAGAATATATATATATATATATATAAGCATGTCCAAATATTTTATTATTTTTTCATAGTTTTTAAAGGTTTTTAAATCAATCTATTTCCCCTTTTTTATCCATAAAAAAACCCAATAGTTATTTCCAAAATTATCATTTTTTGGTGATTCATTTGTTGGACTTTTATATCTATTCTAAAATATAGCTAAGATAATTTTTGCATATTTTTACAAATTTATTTAGTATTTTTAAGCTAAATTGCATATAATTGCAATATTAGCCCTTTTAAGATTTAATTGTGTTTTATATTCATAAAATTAAGTCATGTATTTTTAAATTGTTAATTATATGTTATAAATCATTTTAGTTCTTTCAATTTATTTTCAAAAATTAATTTACTATTTTTCATAATTTTAAAAGGGGAAAATTAGCTATTTAAATAATAGCCCAATTGCATTTCAATTGTAGCCTAAATCTTATCCCAACTTAAACCCAATTTCCCGGCCCAATTCCCATTCAAACTCGACCCCTAACCCAATTTAAACGACCTAACCCGGATTCCCAACCTAACCATTTTAATTCTGGTCGTTGATCATTTAGATCAACGGCCACCATCCTCCCTTTCCATTTTTAACCTTAAACAATCCCTTACCCTACCTTATTCTTCACCAAACGCCGCCCTTGAATCCCTCTTCTCTCTCAACTTTCTTTGAAACCTCTCATGAACCCTAGTTGCCGCCATCTAATCCCACCTTAATCCACGTCAACCCCTACCTAATCCATGGCCTCTCATGATTATTTGAGATATGTATCAACCTCCTATGGCTCCTAGGTGCTTGTTTCTATGGTTTCATGGACAGACCTCGAGGGAATCTAGTCCAGTCCTTACTCAACTTCTGTTCATGGCCTTTCTCTGGCCATCCATGACCTTTCTCCGGCCATTCATGGCCTTTCAGGGCAGATCCTTGACTTTCCTGGTTAGATCGGAAACTTTCAAGGTCTTTCTCACCTTTTCTCGGTTTTCCGAAACCCTAATCTTTAAGATCTTTCAATTTTCTTTTAGGTCTACCTTAGATCTGTACTTACTATGAATTTCTTAAATGTTTTCTCGAAGATTCTTCAACTTTTCTTTCAAAATGACTCTTCATTTTTTGGATTGGGGTTTCTCTTAACCTCTCTCTTAAAGATCTCTTCTCTGATTTTGGTGTTGTTTCATGATTTTGCTATGTTACTTGTTTATGTTTTCCTTCTACTTGAGTCAGCATGTTAAAAACCCTAGTTCCTTTTTTGTCTTATCCGAGTTCTGAAATTGTTTGCCTAAATGTGTGCTTATTTTATTAAGTTCTTTGTTTCTGACTCTTTTATCCTTATTTGGCTTATCTGATTTTGAGTTCTTATCATCTCTAAAACTCGACTACTATCGAAGCCCTAATTTCTTAAAAGGGGTTTTTCTCACTTATTACTACTGTGAGACCTTTACTTGTTTCTGATTTCTCTTACTTGATACTATGTTCTTCTTCACTATTGATTCTATATGAATACTTGACCTACTTGACTACTAAGCTTCAAATATTTTTTCTTACTATTGAATCCTATCTTATTTCTGCTACTACTGTATTTTTGTGCTATCTCTTTTGCCAATATGTTTGGCCTCGCATGTCTGATGTTTTTGTTCGCTCTATTTATATGCTGAAGTTTCTTCCTTGATTGATCTTGATCTTGTGACTGATTACAGAAGTTTTTCTTTTATGAATCCTAATTTCACTTGCCTATTTAAAATTAATTGATTCCTTTCCCTTTACTGTGATGTTTTACCTTGCTGAATCCTTTCCCAAAATAAACATATTTTGTACTTAGACTTGATTATTTACTTCATGCTTTTACTACCCCTTATATGGCAATAATCAATCTGTCCCCAAACTGATTTCTTTCCTTAATTAAGCCTGCTACTACCCGTTAAACAGTGATTCCTTAATTAAAGGGAATCACTTGTGTTAATTGATTCTGACTTGTGATTGTTTTCATATTTGTGTTAAGACTTTACTTATTACCTTACTTTTCACTCGTTTTCAAAAACTATAAATACCCTGCACCCCTCTTCTTTAAAACACACGAACAATCTGAGTTAAGAACACACACTTACACTCAAAAACTTTCTTTCTTTTCTCTACTACTACTTGTGCTACTGCTCTATCTAGCCGGCTGAAAGCCAAGGTTAGACTGTGGAATCTTGCTTATTTTTGCATTTTGCTTCTCTACTGGTATGTCCTAGTTAATTTTCAAGCATCAACAACAACATGTTTCTTTAGCTGTTTCAGTTTCTTTCATTCTTGTCTACTTCTGCTTATGTTTCTACAATCAAGTTACATTACTAGCTTGTGAAATATGTTCCCTTCCCCTTTTAAATTAATGCTCTCCTATGTGTATAAATCCCAAACCCCACATCCCCTCTATCTGTTTGTGTTCTCTGGCTGGTTTGTGGGCATGTCAGCATCATCTATTGTTGTGCATGACCAAACCTGAACCT